TACTCTGGTAACATAACAGGCAGTTCCCACAACAAAACATAAATTTGAATATAAATAACCACATTTATTGTCAAAATGTTTTTCTTACTAAAGATAAATTAGTCACCTGTTACACAGGTCATAGTCTATAACAAATTCTAAGATACATCAAAGTGTGATTAAACCAAAAATTATGTTGCTAAAGATCTATGTTTATATCCAATTCCTCTAGGCTTGAGGAGGACAGAGGAGTAGGACATCTTTAACCTGGAGGAATCTGGAACCTTTGTGTCTTCACTGCAGATTCAAAGGGTAAAGGACAAATAAAAACTGATCATTCATTTTTTTAAGAGTACCAATGTGAGCACTTGGTTTATTTTTTCCAAGGACTTGATTTTAACAGGGGAAGGGGTTGTCTTCTTTCTATGCACTGATTGTTTTTCTGCACAAGTTTTCTTTTTACCCTGTTTCAATGATATTATGTTGGGATCTATATTCTGTGATTCTAAACTGAGCAGATGTTTAACATTTGACCTCACAGAGTGATGCTTATTAAACTATCTATAATATTCATTGTACAACATTAATCTTTGTAGAAAATTTTATCTTAATCAGATGAATAATAGAACACTAACAAAAAATATTATTAAAGTTTTGTAATCTTTTTTTAAATAATGGTGCTGGGAGATATAATTTACTTCTCATCTAGCCTAACTATTATATATTTCAATGTGTAAAGGAATAATATATTTTAGAGTAGAAAATGTGGTGTTTTATATGCAAATCTAGACAGTAAAACAATGTTAGAACAAACTAAGGAGACAACCTTCTTAACAACACAGATATGAAACAGTTATCTGTCCTAATATGTAGACATATGTCTTATGTTTACATAAATGTTTATCATTTACAAGAACTTATTCATGAACACTTGCTTTGTCCTCATACCAATATTTTGAGATATTCTCTTACTATACCCATTTACAGCTGAAAAACTGAATTAATAAATGAGAATCACATAAATGGTCAAGAAAACACAGTTAAAGAGAAAGAGCTGGGATCACTCAAAGTCAGTGTTTACTCCCTATCTTCTTACACACTGGAAGCAGAATCCAAAAGAGTATTGCACTACTGAAACTTATTTGTCCTATATTTGTCACTTCTGATCAGAAATATACTTTTAAAGAAAAAGCAGGGCTGTGCCCCAAAACCTATGTGCATGTTTATATTTATATGAACTACTGAAATATATTAGAATATGTAATATATGGGAACATTATATAAGTATCCTTTTGCAGATAGCTTCAAGGCCCATGGATGAATATGGAAAGCTTCTAGGGAGCATTGTTTCACTTATTTAGTCATTATTTCCAATTTGTCAAAAACTAATTGATACAAAGTATAACTTCAATATCCTAATATAGCTAAGACATTTCCTACAAATCAATTAACCATGATATAAGGCTTGAAATTACACTGAGCTGTTATGTGATCAAAAGATAAACAACTGGAGGTGTCGTAACTACACATTTTTTTATGAGTCTCAATATTTAATGGACTAAAATCACAGTATGATAAAATATTTCTGTGAGTTTCCTGTGTTGGAGGTACTGTTTGTGAATATAATTGGATTCATTAAACCCAACCAGGCAGTTTATTAATCAGTAGGTTGGATTGGCAGACAATGTGAAATAAACTATTTATCTATGACATGTTTAATATTTTATAGTAGTATAAAAAGCTGTTGTTTTGGCATATAATCTGATAAACTTGAAGTGAGCAACGAGTATCATGAACTGTCCCCATTCAATTAACTTTCCACACACGACCACATGAGCCATTGCAAAGCCATCAAAGGACTGCATCCCTGGGAACACCTCTGGAATATGGCTGATGAAAACCATCTGAGAAGCAAATGGAAGAATTGGACTTGAAAGTACATTTCTTAACTCATAAACAAGACAGCAGAGACTCACTGTACCACACCTTCAATCAAAATACTGGACTTTAAAATACGGGCAGTCTACGGTTGGTGTTTGTTCATTACCTGTATTATGGCACCTGAGTTTATGTATTCATAACTATGTGGAAATCTTTAAAACTAAGACTCTGTTAGGAATAGTGATACTAGCATCACTGATCCTCTCTCACGAAGTGAAAATAATGTGTATACAGAGAAACAATCAAAAAGGGATGTTTCCATCACCTGTGGATAATTAGGAGAGGAAAAGAAACAACTTTTGAAGTTCAAAATGTTCCAGTTTCCATTGACTTGTTACAACTGGATATTTTGATGCAGACATAATATATCATCTACCTTATAAACAAATTACATAAATTATTTTAAATTTAAATTTAATGCTTTCTTACAGAAGGATAACTGGACAAAAAATTGTCTGCTAAACTCTTCAATAATTCCATGTAAATTCATGCCACATAAGAGAGAACTTTGATAAAGCACAACAGAAAATAATAAATTCTATAACATTTTCAGTAAGGGCACTATATATTAAATCATATGCTAAAAGTACAAATATAATGTTTAGTATATAAAAATGAATCAAGTAACTTCATTTTTAATTTTAGAGTCCATTATGAAAGTAATGTCATATTTAGAAATTATTTGACAAAACTATGAATGGCACTTTCCAAGTAATATCATTTGAATTCATTTTTTTTCCTCCCTGATAAACCATTTCACTGGGAGAAAAAAAAATTGGCTTCTCTTTATTGTGAAAGATGTGAAGTGGATAGAGATACTGTAATTTGACAGTGCTTGACTTTTATTACAAACAATGAAAACATTAGTGACATCTATGATGACTGGGTTATACAACTACACAACATACACCAAATTAAATAACTCCTTCCATAAGACTGTGACAATTTCATTAGAGCAACAACCTCCTGTACTTATTACAATTGCCATTCAATCAGGTACTATCATTTTCAACCCATAATATAACAAAAACATCATACAGAAAATACATGCACTTTTCCTCAAGCCCATCAGCAGCTCTCTGGATGCACCCACAGGCACAGAGTAATACTGACTAGTCCTTTAAGGATTATCTTTTAAAACTGTAACACTAGACTCAAAAGAAAAAGGAAGGAGAAATGCATATCCACCTCATCTAATGCTTCTTTTGAAAGAAATTTGATATTAAAAAAAAAATGAAGAGGGCATAATAGTGTGTCCAAAGTGCTCTTGGAAAGTTCTCTGGATGTTAATAATGTCAAACTAAAGCAATATTAGTAAAACTAATCACAGTGTTCAGTTAATAAGAGCCATGGAGACCCTGCTAGTTCTTCTGCCTCACTGACTTGTTATTAGTATAATTACAGGCCTCCCAAATTTCGACATCTAACTCCAAACATAATCATCTTCATTCAAGCCCTGAAACCTTATAACCCACAACCAGTAAGGATACCACTTAACATTTTTCCCAGCAACATTAACAATGGATCATGCATGTGGCAGAGAGACGCTCTGGAAAGAAGTCTCCGGGGGGCTTAAAACATCCAGTCTATATGTGAGAATACTCGCCCCTATTTGTCATACTTCTAATGGAGCAAACCTCCCCAAATCATGCACAGGTTCGTCTCTGCAATTTGATATGTGTCATATCAAACACTTCTCCATGGGCTTTTAGAAGCAGTGGGGCTCTGAAGCCATTTCATTATATAGGCGAATGCCCACCAGCAGAGATCAACTCAACTGTCATCGGAAGAAGGATGCACAAGGAGATAACTCCTGGGTAGTTTCAGCACCTCCCCATTTTCATGGAAGTCATTTCAGAAAATCCCCAGCCTCTTAAATACTGGCCACACAGTTCCTAAAAGTAAAAGTCTATGCCTGTCAGGTCTGATATTATGCTTATAACAAATCTCTGATCTAAGCCAGCACATTTGCTTGAGAACACTAGGCATACATGTTCATGATGATACCTTTCAGAGCTAAAGCACATCGGATCAGCTCAAATGAGGGAAACACAAACACCTTGAAAAGAACAACTGCCCCTCTTATTCTCATCTTCCACACCCTTCATTACCCCGCATTTACTACAAAACACAACTTTGGGCATTTTAGAAGTAACTGTTCTTTGTGGAACCACATTCACGCACACCCCCCAAATCCAGAAGTCTGTTATCTTACTACCCAAACCAAGGAGGCTACACCACCTTTCTAGTGACTTAATTCTGAGCACAGTGGCTCAAACCTGCTGAGTAGCAATCGATGAACACATTACACACCAGAAGAAGACGAAGGTCGGGGATAAAGAGAAGCAGCTTTGCTTTCAGCCATTAATTACGAATCACCCAAATATCGCATCACATATCTCCCATGCCCATGCACAGCTTTCCAAACCTGTGTTTCAGGCGGCGCTTTCCAGAGCCTCGCTATCTATTGTCAGGACGCAGAAGCCCCCGAAACCTGTGAATGGAACTGAAAATGCGTCCTCGGAAACCGCTAAATATAGACCAAAGGGTCCCTGGGTCTGGCAAGCAGCCGTAGACTGAAGAAACGGCCATGGACGCATATGACTAAGTCTTTCCATTTTGTTCTAGCCAAACATCGTAATGACATTGAACATAAGGGCAAAAGACTGGAGGGAAGTCCTCCCCACCCCCACCCCGTCTTCTCCCATATATTAGGGACGTCATGAACGCAATGGGTATGTTCTTGAGGGTGGCGGGTAGCAGTATTGTCGGTGTTGCCCTATATACGCCTCCTCCGGGGGAGATGGGTGGCGGGGAGGGGGAGCACGCAGAGAAGCCACTTGGAAACCGCTCCAAGAAAGGCACTAACCCTGGACCCCATTCCAGGCAGAGCGGTTTTCCAAGAGGGGGGCCCGGAGCAATCTCGATCCTCCCCCGGGCAGGCAGGACCACGCAGCAGCCGCCGCCACCGCCAGCCGGCCAGGAGCCGAGGACCAACCCCCACCGGCGGCGAGAAGGAGGAGGGCGACGCCGAGGAGGAGGATGCGCCTGGCCCCAGCAGCCGAGCAAAAGCAACTCACCGAACGGCGCGGCGCCCGACTGCTTCCTCGCGAACATGCACCCGCCGCCAGCTACAGCTCCTCAGTCCGGGAAAAGGCGTGTGCGCCGCCGCCCGGCTTCAGGGCAAGGTCCTGACCTTGCCCAACTGCAGCATCTTCCGCTTTTGTTGTCTGAGCGCGGCCGCGGGACAAGTGATG